CCTTTTTCCTCTCAATGAGACTCTTTCCAGTTTGTCCACCTGCTATTAAAGGAGGCGCCCAGAAGTAGCACACTCAAAAGAATAACCAATATCCAGCTCTTCAGCACAGCACTCCTCTGCCACAGAATCACACATGCCACTCACATCCATTGAAGCCAGGACTCTATTCACTCCTCGACATAGCATTTAGGGAACAGTACTGCATGCTGTAAAGCTCGTCATGTCTCGTACACAGGTGAAGAGACTGGAAAAATCTCTGGATTTAAAATCACTAGCAGATCCAAAAGGCTGCCTTAACCCATGCAGCTTCCTTGGTTTGGCTCAGCCAGGGCAAATCCACTCCTTCAAGCGCAGCCTGATGTGACTCACTGCACAGTTCCCAAAGCCCTGTCGTGTTCAACTCTAGTGTAATGTTAAAACACTGCTCCAGGCACACATAACGAATAAACTTATAAAAGTTAAGTCCCAACCCAAACAGACAAGCTATTACACCATGGGATACGGAAAGACAGATTAGATTTAACTTCAGAATAACCATTTCCTCCAAGAATTTTGGCTCCTGCTCATCCAGAGTCAGAGTAACTTCCTATTCAAATATTACCTAAAATTTACCAGACTTTTAAAGATGTGAAGCCAGCTTGAAAAAACTATACATGCAGATAGGCAATAAAAACATCTGATATATTTTTTAACCAAATTTCTAAAAGAATTAAAAAGGACTCTTGGTATAAGCCCCATATACCACCGACATAAATGTAAATGCCATTGTCATTCTAAAATTAAAAATCAAATGTAAATTTAAGTAAAATCTTAGCAATAATGTAGTGTTAAATTGCATGAGGTTATTTTGAGCCTGCCATATTAACTGCCAAACAGTTATTCCACATAATTTTGAAGATATCACTCCAAAATAATTTGCAAGATTTCAACTAAAATAAAGGTGAGACCGTTATCAGTCATCACCACAGAGAAGCACTAACCTCTCAGAAATAGTTCCTACTTAAAGAAAAACAAAACCTTCAATCCAACAAGAAACAGAAAAAGACAATTAGTCTACATTTATAATAAACCAAAAGACAAATGTATACAAGTAATGCCTAGAAAAACATAATCTCACAAGTTTTTTCTGTTTTAGGTAATGATCCATCATGTTTCAAAATATGTTATAATCCCAGACAAAATACAAATGGGGCCAGCAGCAAAATCTAATTCTTAGCTTTTAACCAGTGAAGACAAACACTTTCATACTCCTAGATACGAGATGAAAGAGCATCCAAAATAACATCAGGTTAACATCAAGCAGCATACCACACTACCCACCTCTGTGGAAATAAATCTGCCCAAGAGGCAAAGAATTCTAGCTTTTCTTAACTAGACTCTCAAAGAGGGCTCCTCCCAGTTTCAGTGCACAATAGCCAACATAACCTTGTTATTGCAAGAATTTGGTGTTATTTCAAAGTCCAAATGCAACAATTTTTTTTTCTTTTGCCATGGCACCCCGGAATAACTTTTAAAACTCGCCTCACACATCCGCAGTGCTGCATGGGTGCAGACCTTGCTAATACCTATTGCAAGAGCAGGTGCACCTGGCAGAATTTGTGTGTTTCCATGTAGCTGGAGGTTTTATCTGCTGCATATATCACGCCAGGCCAGTGCTTAACACAATCAGAGCTTAGAGTCACAGGGCATTTTTTTAGCAACGATGCAGTTTCAAGTGCTTCCACCAAAATATAAATGGGATGACAAACTTCCACTTGGTTTACACCTGCAGCCCAGCATAACTCTTCCCATTCTTCAGATGACCATCATATGTTGTCAATGGCAAATTTTGCTTATTTTGTCAGCAAGAGCAGCAGCATCTGCTATTTGGTAGGCTCAATCAGGAGCAAAACAGCTGGGAGCAACACAGCTCCCTGAAGCACCAGAACAGGCAACTCCAGCAACTCCTAGAGCTGTCACACAGCTAAATTGCTTTATTCCCTGCTGTTTTCAGTTAACATTTTTTATGTATGCATCTTAAGGCACAAACAGACACTTGGAACCTTGGTGATCAAGCCCTCCCACCTGCTGCACAGTCTCGGACTCTGCTGATGGAGCCTTACCATCAGCTGCACAGGCTGCTTCCTGCAGACTCAGGCCATTACAGGCAAGTCTCCATCTCTCCCATCCTGTCTGGGTCTTTTTTTCCCCTTTTGGTGGTGTTGGTTGCTTGACTGCAGTTGTGCTTGGGAAACAAATAATATAACTCTGCTTCAGGAAACTTTAAAGTAATTCAAAGTAGGCAACAAATAATTTCCTTATGTGTTTTTGCAGTTTATTTTCTTATACAGCCACAAAGTAGGATATTCAGCTTCATCTATGGAAACACTCTGTTCATCAGTCTTCTGCATTAGTTCAGTGATGTAAGTGTGAGCAGAGTTATAACCAAGCGGCAGTGGGAAAATAGAGCAAAGTCTGGCGTCGCCGACTTTTTGTTGCTGCCATCCTGCTGGCTCACACATCGCAACACAGTCCAACACCACCCCCATTAACAGCAGCAGGAAAAAAAAACCCTATTCCTGAAAGCCTCTGGTTTACGGACAGATAGAAGACACTGAAAACATATAAAAGCCACAGCAGAAAGCAATCCCAAGCCGATACAACACAGATCTGTGCAAGGAGCCTGTCCCTCTCCTCCAGGCAGCACTTACACACAGCAGTGCACCATACTGGCAGCAGCCGCACACTGATGCCTTTCTCCAGATCTGCTGGTAGAAGCCACGGACCACCAATTTAACCAGCCTTTTTTGGTAAGAGCCCCCATTTTGTCTTACAGTGGTCTGAAGTGAAATATGTTTCCTGATTAAAAAATAAATAAATAAAAATCACCCATTAATTTTTTTTTAAGCTATCATGCTTTTTCACAAGAAAAAATGGTTGCACTGAGACCACTTCCACTTTATTTTCCCACAGCTTTCCCCCCCTATATTTTTATTTAACCACTCTATTTCAAAACCAGGAATCCCTGGAAGTTCAGTCCTATTATCCCCAAAGCCCTATCTTCCACTTCAAGTAGACTTTTCTTAGCCTGTAGCAACAGGCTCTAGTCAAACAGATGAACACAGAAGACACTTGATGGTCTCAAACTTAACCTGGCAACTCCACCCTGTATTATATATACTAATATTTTTCACTTGAGTTAATTAGTGGGATTCAAATGAGACCTCAGTAGCAACATTCCCAACACCATGAACCACAGTAGTGATGTTTCACATGCTTCACCTGGAAATACACCAAAACATACTACTGTGGGCTTTCCAGAGCCTCAAGCTCTCCCAACACTGCAAGGTGCTGCCAGTTCTCAGGTACAATGAGCTGCCTCTCCTGATGCTACTTTCTACTAAGATTTCCTCACAAATCATTAAATAAATTAGGATGTGCTTTACTTTTGCCTCTTGTTTTCTGATGCCATTCTTATTACGTTTTCAATAACCTATCTTAATCCACGGGATTTTTTTCCCCCATGAATGCTGAAATTCTTCCATAATTAGAATCACTTAAAAGCTGGGCTTTAGAATACCAAGTAACACGGCATTGACAAGAAAAGTCACAAAACCTGACACTGCAAGATCTAGGTGGCTCAATGTGATATCAATACCATAGCACATCAGGTGCTACAACACCACACAGTCATTATTCTGAAGAAATATGTGACAGTGTTGTCCTCATCACTGAAGGAAACAAGGGATCATCTCATTTCTCCTAAACCTTTCAGGAAACCAGAGGCAGGAAATAGCGTTTTAATTTTTCCATCACAGTTTCCCACAGAAGATGAGGCAAATCTAGAAGTGAAACTATGTGCAAGTTCATTGTCCATCTCCTCTTTAAATAAAAAATTAATTACTGAGGGTGGTAAAGGCAAGAAAAGAAAGCAGATTTTCAAGTGAGAGTCCATGGTGACAGGACACCTGATCAGACAGTTGTTTGGATGTTAGTCCCTTCACCAAGGGACTCTGATCAAACCCAGATAAAGTTTCTGGGACAAGTTTAAGGACAAGCTTTAGCCATTCCTCAGACTACTGGTTTTATTCTTGTTGAGGCAAAGATCAGAAACAGTTAACTACTTTGATCAGAAGGGTAGTCTCATATCTAGAAAAATCCCATTTGCTCGTCCTCCTGATCATTCCAGCTTCTTTAAGCACATTTGTCCACAGACCATCAATACTGCACCCTGACAGCAGGGCCCCAAAATAGGACTCTTTTCCCACCTTCAAAAGCTGGCTCTTCTCCCCTTGAAAGTCTGCAAAGAAAACTTCACAAAATAAATATCTGAATCTCTAAGTGGTTCTTGAGAGAGTGGCATCTGCCAAAACCAAAGATGACACGGAGGTCATCGAAGAAGACGAGATCTCACTCCTGGTCACACAGGCAGCTAACTGAGGGGTGAAGGTAGCACAGGCACTCCTCACTTTTGCTAACTCCAGATGCTAACGATGGTCCTCACTTTCCCAAAAGGCTTAACAACCATTAGTAGAACCTAATTACAAGTCCAATTACCAGCTCATTAACTAGTTCATTAATTCTCACGTAGACCAGGTCTTAGAACCCCTTCTTGACAGCCTTCTGCGAAAGCAATGGCATTTGGATGCCAAGAACGCCAAAGGCCACGGACTTTTCCCAACCTTGCTCCTGGTTGGAGATGTCAAGCCTGACGAGCGCGCCGGCTAACTCGGGGCCAGTGTTACCTCCTCAAACCGAGATCTGACCCTGTCCAGCCCCGCTCCAGCACACTCCCCCTTTTCTGCAGCTAAGGAGCACTGCTCAAAAAGTCGTTCGATCACTCCCCAAGAAGTCGCCATCACGTCACCCCCCACTACCTCACCTCAGCAACGCCCTCCCGCCACCTCCTCTCAGGTACCAGGCACACCTCCGCCCCGGCTGCCCGCTCACCCTCAGCTCCTCACGGGGAGACGGGGGCGCCGGTCGCGACACGGCGGTGGCTCCTCCCGAGCCCGCCCTACCTTCCTGCGGCGGCCGCCCGGGGGTTGCAGGGCGCAGCAGGCGGGCGCGGCGCTCCCCCGCCGCCCGCTCCGCACGTAGGTGACCCGCCGCCTGCCCCCCAGAGCCGCTGCCGCGCCCGGGCGCTGCTCCGCGCCGCGGGGCGGGGGGGGCGCCCGCCCCGCCGCCACCGCCCGATCCCGGGGCTTCTCCTCCGGACACCAGGATCGCCTCATGCCCAGCTGGAGGCAGAGGAAGAGCGCCGCGGAGAGCAGGCAGAGGCGGAAAGCCGGGCCCCGCCAGAGCGGCCGCTCCTTGGGCATGGCGGCGGGGGCTGCCCTGCCCGGCGCGGCCGCCCCCCCGCCCCGCCGCAGGGCTCATGCCGCCGGCGGGCCGGGCCCCGCGGCCGCCGCCGCCGAAACTTGGGAGACCCCGCCCCGAGCGGGGCCGGCTGGGGAGGGGCCGGAGTGCCCCTGTCCCGGCCCGGCGGGGTCTGCGGGGCGCAGCGGTGTTCGGCATCGGGCGGCCCGCGGGATGCTCCGCGCCCCGGCGAGGGCAGCGCCCGGGTACCGAACGCGGGGCCGTGCCGCTGTGGAGCCACAGGTGCGGGTCGCTGGTACACGCACCCGGGCCTGACAGGACAGAACCCCTCGACCTAACTGTTACATCGCCCCGTCTCTATAGCATGGAAGTGTGCTAACTTATCAATGGATGTATTATTTCAGATTATACACATTATGTAATGTAGTAGTGGAATTTTACTGGAGACTTGGATATTGTTCATGGTTAAGTCAAACAAAAGGACAGCCTGGACCTGGAAACAAGGACTTTGCTTCTTGGAAGGTTAGAGTTATCTGTGAAGGATAAAGGATAACCCTGAACATCCAAGATAACACTGGCATCCTAACCCTTCTGATAGGTCTTTGAAACCTTCCCAGTATCATCTGGCAGTACATATAATAATTCTAGCAAGGCTGGCTCCAGGGACATCTGGACCAATAGACAAGCAGCCAGAATGCTGCAAAAATAGAGCTACTTTTCAAAATTCTGCTCTGATTAGTAACCAGTGGTGTGGCTATTAGTGATTACTCACATTGTGTTGGACCTGAACTTTTGAAGGGTGTGAGAACCCTGCGTGAAACATCAGCTGTGGTGCCCCAATTTGGCTGCAACTCTTCGTGCTCATGAGTAACTCTTCTAAGTCTATTCTTTGCATCCTAGCTTCTTTCCTGGGTTATCACAGGCTAGCTGCTAATTTTTATGACACATCCTTGTTTTCATGCATGAAAGAAAGGATCTGCATGAACTAAGCAGGGCTGAAAGGTAGTGCAGGGGACAGGTGTCCCACTCACCTTTGTGGGAGCACTGGAGGCCCCGCATTTGTTTCGCAAGGGAGACACACTAGACAGAATTATAAAGTGCAGAGGCTGGCTTTTGTCTTAAGCCACAATGCTAAACCATTGCTGAGCGATGAGCAGGTCGTGGTGCTTGGTGGGATTTTCTGAAGCAGGACCTGCAGATGGGGAGAGGTGTCTAGGGCAGGAGGCAAGCTCTGTGTGAACAGGGAGGGAGGTGATGGCAGCCAATTTGCAGCACATGCTGCTTGGTTAGTAATAAATGTGTTCCTGGGTGGGATGTGCTGGACATGGGTCCAAAACTAATCCCCATTTCTTTGCCAAGTAGGGGAGAGAGTCTGTGACTCTTGTCCCCTGTGAGCAGTCCCGTGCTTCCAGCACCCCTGTCTTGTCTGCTGAGCTCCTTCTGATGTCCTCTCCTCCCTGTCTCTTTACAGCCTGGAGCAGAGCCAGAGCAGACTGTTGCTGGGGGAGCAGGTCAGAGAGGAGCACTGGGAAAAGTGGAGCCTGCAGCAGCCAAGCAACCAGACCTGCAGGCAGCATGACAGAGGAGCTGCATGTAGGAAGGTAAGAGAGGGAGCAATGATCTATCTGGAGAACTGAGATTTCAAGCATGGCTCCAAGCACAGATGCACTGGCAGGTGAGGTGCATGCTCCCTGCCATTTAAACATTGCTGTCCTCCTTTTTTTTAAGTAAACTGTTCTTCTAAATTAGGTTAAAGCAATTCTGTGGTTGTTTTAAACTGCCCTAAATGCAGGCTCCTCTTGGAAGGGGGTAAGTGGCAGTCCTGCTTGCCATTCCTGTAGCAAGAGGGTGGCTCCTTTGTTGTAAACTAAACCAGGTCCATGACCCAGATGAAAACTAATTCAAGAAAAACTGTATCTGGAGCGTGTTCCTAATAAACCTGGACACCCTTTTTGGTACCATCCTATCTTTTGGACAGCCTCTGGGTGGTTTATTCCTCTGGGGGAATGCAGTGCAGGTCAGAGCACTCCTCCTCTGCCTCAGTTCAGGGGTCCCCATCTTCCTCTTGGACAGGCTTGGGTGCTTGCCATAGGCAAGCAAGTTGGCTCTGGCTGTGGACCTTTCTGATAACCACATGCTTTTCCTGTTTCTACCCCACTTAGGTGGCTCACGAATGGATCAGACAAGCCCTGCTGCTAGTGCAAGAAAGGATTTTATAAGGGCAGAGGGAGACTGTAACTGCAGCAATCATGACTGACATCAACTGAAGTGATGGGCATCTGGCTCCATGCATGAGCATCACCTGGAGTTCATCAGCAGAAGGTCACTTTGGCTGCCATGGGGCTCCCTGTCCATCACTTTGCTTCTCCATGTGAAATGGCAACATTTATCTGCAGGACAAAAGTAATGCTGATGCTCAGGGAAGAGAGGTTTAGACATACATCAAGAACACTAAATTCAGGGGTAAATGTGACAAGACACAAGACTTGCAATAGTGCTAGCCAAAATAATTATATCACAAACTTCTTAGCACAAAGTTTGTTTTAAGCTATCAGCATCTAGTCAATAAATAATGGCATGTGAAGGTCCTACTAAAATATAAATTTATGTTTGTATGATTACAGAGAAAATGTTGAAGGCAGGAGTACAAAAATTGACTACAAAAGTATAAAGTGCCCAAATATATTTTAAAACTCTCTCATGAGGTTTAACCCTTGAGAAATCAAACCCTTCCTAAAAACTTGAATAGTACATACTCAAATAAAAGAGGTCTACCTAAGCAGAATAAAATCCGCAAAGTCTTTCTTGGTTTTAGCATCGCAGCTTCATTTGTTTTCTTCTCTCATTGTGTAGCTTCATCAGAAAGCTCAAATACTTGAATCCAGCCACTCTTCTTGTTGTCACTGAGCTGTAACTGCAAGTCCTGACCTTGTATGAAATATTCCCTTCCTCAGAAAGCTGATCATCCTCAATTTGTGAGCATGATAGGAGTGGTTCTGATAAAGAACAGTTCAAAAAGTTAACTCAGTGTTTTAATTTTGCTTTTGTGTTTTAACAAACAATTGAATTTCTCGTGCTTCTCGCCTGCTTCCACACCCACTTCCCCCCCAACTCTTATGAATGTAAGTCTGCCTGTTTAAAACACAACAGAAGGTTTCTAAAGATATAGAAAAAGGAAACAATGGTAGAGAAGGATCTCAGGAAATCTCAGGAACAATGAGAAATCTTATCTGGATTAGCATAAGAATCAGTGGGAATTAAGATAGTACTTTAAACAGTCTCACTTTTCCATTTTAACAAGTGAATTATAAATCAATTCTTCCCCCAGGCATTGGTTGCAAAGAGATGTGTGTGAGACATGTCTGTTAAGAAAAAGAGCAAATTAAAATTGCAGCATAATGGATGCAACTCCAATCCAACCGGAGGATGGGCCTTTTTGAGGTGATTGCTGGGAAATACAGCTTCTGTAAAGTTTCACAGCTTCTGCAAAACATGCTTACTCTTTGAGTCAGGCAGCAAATAGCCTCCCCTTCTTGCTGTCCTAAAGCAAAATGGATAGTGTTAAAGGAACATATATCATGCTGGATCCAACTGAATACAAACTACTGCCATGTAATGTAAGGAGTAACTGGAATAGCGACTCTGAATGTGAGCATTCAATTTCTACTGAGAACAGCGAGCATCATGCCCTGATAACCAAAATCAGACATTGGTCTTACTGTGTCTGCTTTTTATGTAGCTGCACAGAGCTATAGCTCCCTTAGTTTCTCCAAAAAAGTCTTTGGAGACTTTTAGAAACTGCTAAAATTCCTCTCTCATTTACAAATTTGTCTGTGGTGAGAGCACAGTGCTAAGCCTCTAGAAGGAAGAAGTTTAACACCAATGAAATTTCATTGCTTTGGTGCTGTCTTCGCTGCTTATAAATTACCTCTTGCCTGGGATATTGTTGGTAGTGAAATCTCTCCTTTGCAGCAGTTATTTAATGTTGCTCTCTCTTACGGCCATTTTCAGTTCAAACATCTTGCCTTCTACCATCCATCTTCTGCCTCCACCCACTGTCAAGGCATCTGTTTACCTTCTGGTTAGTCAAAATGTCTTTCCCAATCCCTGTGCAAAATTAAACCCCAGGCAGGAAAAACACCACTAGGAATTCCCTAGATTCTCCAAGGGGTGTTAATACAAGTCAAACATTCCTCCTATAAAATGAGCAAATGAATAAAAATGCTCTTTTTGACTCTGCCTAACAACTGCACTGGACTTGGTATGAACCACTTGCCAAAATCTACAGGACAGAGAAAAGGAAGATTTTTTTTCCCTCTCCTCCCTCCTACATTCCTGGCTAACACTTTTAAAATCCGAGTGATGTTGTTCCATGCTCATGAAAACAGAGATGTTTTATGCAGAAACTTTCACAAGGTCATTTTAAAAGAGGTCACAGGAAGAGAAGTACAGTGTGTTCTTCCCCACAGAAGATGCGTGTGCCTCTGATCCTGACTCTGCAGGAGTCAGAGCTTTGGTCCAGGCCTGGTTTATTGCCTTGCACGTTTAAGTGCCAAAGCTCTGCCATAGTCCTGGGGAACGTGGCATGAAATGTTTGTAGCTCCTGGGTGACTTCTCAGTGATGGCTTCAGTGCAAACCTGATCTCATTTCTGTTCCTTAAAATTGCAGCTTGAAATCCTGGATTTCTTTATGCACCAAATGACAGATGACCCTGGAGCCTGCACACAGCCATCAGCTCTGCCAGGTAGGTGCGGCCCTTACTTCTTCCCATACCTTAAATCCCACTGAAAACTAAGAGAAAGAATCTCTGTCTGTTACCTTTTAAATGTTAGCAACAGAGAAGTAAATTGGCCGCATTGGTCTATTACCGACTTACCACTGCTGAGAAATACGTGTCTGAACAGCTCTCAAGGCAAAAGCTTAGCTGTGTGAATTATTAAAACCACTTCTCAGCTCACCACTGGTAAGTTTGAAGATAACAGCTAAAAAATATATGTTCATGCAGTCTCCCGTTAGCTCTCC